TATACTCTAATTGTGATGCTGGGACCTGGGTAACGTGGTAAGCAACCGCCAACACAATACTCGGTCAGTTGAGTCGGGGGTAGGGGGGTAGGGGTAAGCTTTCAGAATACATCAAGGAGTATCCGTATCCGTCACTGGGACTAGGTGCAGGGTATCTACATTGGTTTATGCTCCTTGTTGTACCCAAAAAATCGTAAAAGCACTATGAAGTCTGGCATTATACTCAAAGTTTGAGAGGAAGCCTATCTATCCATTAAAAGTGTCCATACATTCCAAACTCTTTGCACAAATAACATGTAGAGGGACAACAAACAACTAAAGTAGAAATTGATAGAAAAGAAGAGAAATTGTGGAGCTTGGGCTTGAAGAAGTTACGTTCCACGATTCATTTTCCCATGCATGCACAATTTTCTAAATGTACATGTGAACCCGTCTTTTTTTGGGGGGGGGGTAGAAATGTAGAAACGTGCCGCTAGAAAGTTTGCGCAGGCCGATTAGACTGTTCCATGACTAAGACTATTTGATTCTCGAGAGAAAGAAAAGAAGGAAAAGAATCAAGGCTGGCCGCCATGACAGAAAAGGCATTTACAGCTTGCATATCCAATTTCAAGGTTATACGCCCGTAACAAACAAATAGGTCTTGCAGTATGACTCCGTCTTTTCGGCAACATGAATACTCATCTTGAGCTCGATATTCTTTAACTGTCTTCTGCATATAGATAACCACAAAAATGTCCTACCTTGGTAAAAAGGAGAGAACAAGCCCACGGTGTTGTCAGGTACAGACCACGTTTGAAAGATACGCCCCCCCGAAAAGTTACCGAACCGCTTCTGTCACAGCATTTTGAATAGGCATGACACCAAAGGTCAATGATACTGTCTGAGGTGTGAGTCCCGCCTCACTACGCAAAAAGACTTCTGTCTCAATACTTTTGGGTAGTGAAAATGTCACCAAATAACAACGTCACCAGACTCTCTATGGATAAAAATGGCACCTTTGCCATTATTTTCCTTCTCACGACAGGATAGGACTAATCTAATATGCATCGACAAATATCATTTCCTAGAATTTCTGAACGGTTAACCTTTTCTGAATAGAAGTACATTGGTGTGTAAAAACCGCAGGTGTCACACCTGGATAACGTGTTTAAATTGTTCGTTTATGAGTCATGGCTGATACCGCATTTCATACTGCCGGGAGGGGGGTAAACTAAATTAATTTTGTTAAATTGTCTACTCATGTGATGTAGCTGACAGGTGCTCTTCTCCTTGGTGTGCGCGTATTGCTCGTACGTGATGAGATTTGATAACCTTTTTTTAATGATCATTACTTCAGTTATCAACATTTATAAACAGGGCTTTTGTGAAAAGCTACAATACTAACTAGAAAGGCCAACATTTGCTTCGGAGCAAATGTAGGAATTTCACTCCATACCCTTCCCCAAACAAAAATGAAAGATTCTTCAAGAGTATTCACAAAATAAGCCATACTGCAATTATCTAATTGAGATCAAGGATACAAGGACAAGCAAACTTTTAATCTCGACAGCTTTATTCACAAAATTAGCACTTGACAATATATTGTCTCCCATTTTTTTTTTTACAAAGATACACACAGATTTACTTTACACTTACACTACCAAAAATGCTTTTTCTTGTTTTTCTTATTTTCTCATGGGAAGAAAATTTTTCTTTGGGGGAGAATAATTAGAAAAAAATAAGAAAAAAATTAATTTTCTGTATACCTACATTCTTGCACCAAGAACAATTTTCTCATTTTTCTTGAGTGGAGATAATTTTTCTAAAATAGGCTTCTTTAAATCTTGATTTTTCTTCGGTGAAGAAATATTTCTAGAGGAGATTCTAACTTACAAGATTAGAATTCTTTTAATCTTGAAAGTTCTTTAGTAAAGACAATATTTCTAGGGAAGATTCTAAGTTACAAGATTAAAATTCTTTTAATCTTAAAATTCCCTCAGACTTAGTTAAATTTTCTTATTTAATCTCTATGGAAGATTTCTTTCTTACCTGACATGAAAGTGATCAGATTTNTTAAATTTAATTCTATTACTACTCCATTCTCTGAAAACTTGGTAGACATACGATGAGTGCATAAAAACATGTAAAAACGGAAATAAGGTAATGTATAAGAACGCCAGTGTATCCATTATGATCGAAAGTCCGGCTGGGGTCCGCGCGGACCCCAAAAGAAAATCAGATATAATTTTTTTTTATAAAAGGTAGAAACGGAGTTTTATGCACTGTATTGAGAGACAACTTTGTGGGTGACAATTACCTAAAATGTCAGAAAAAAATCTTTAGAAACAAAAAAGAATATTACAGAATATATAGTGCTGGGTCCGCGCGGACCCCAGGTGTACTGTTTAGGGGTTAAAATGCATAGAGATCTCTGGTTACAGGTATAAGACTTAGTGTAACTTGCATTCAGACAGCCTTATGATATTAGAGGGAAAATTTTGCGTAATCCTCTATTAGCGATAAACAAATCGTACCAACATACTTTGTATCCATTCTGGCCGACCACCGACCCGTCCACCCAATACCAGGTTCCCTCTTTCTCCTCCATACCGATCCAGTGTTCCTTATTACCTCCTTCCGTTTTGACCAGATCTCTCAGAGCGACGTCCAGTTCTTCCGTTTTCGGCATGGCCAGTGTGGCTCCTTCCTTCCTGCATGCCTCCTTTGCCCCATCATGGGACTTCCCGAACAACCAGTTCACCCACGGCGCGGTAACGAGCCTGATGCAGGTCCCGGCGAGTAGTTTGTAGCCGTTTTTGCAGCGGGGACCTGAAAAGAACAACGGAAAGCAATGTGAAATTGAGATCTATCATTTTAGCTTAGCCCTTCATACCACACGGAGTAAACGGTTTTTAAACCAAGAATCAGCCAAACGTCACTGGTCATTCAGGGAGGGATTCTGAACCAGTCAGAATGGCCCCGAGGAAGGTTACAGACGGTCACCGAAACGTCGGCTAAATATAAGACTTGGCTGTGTAAAAAGAGTCTCTTTACTCAGTAGTTACAGAAGGTAATGATGTAATTGTTGAATCTGATTTATTTCAAAATTTACACAGGCATGTTAAAGGCTTGTGCTATGAGCTACCGACCGTACACATTCCTTCGTTATTTTTCGCGTACTTCTTCCTTCTGTAGAAAGTACATGTGGTTTACATTTAATGTATTGTTTGTAATTACAATCTTTAAAGGTTATATAATATATATGTCTAACCGTTTGTGGTGTTGAATGAGTCGCCGTGTACGGGTGGTGGACGTGATAATGTCCAATCTTTCTCAGTAGTTAGAGGTGTAGTCTCCAGGATCAACTGTGGAGGGAAATAAACAAATACTGAATTTAAAGTTTCTACTAATTCAAGAGTTCAATGCATGTGTGATTTTACATACATACATAAAGAAAAGATGGAATACATAAAGTAACGATGGTAATAATGATAAAGGAAAAAGCATAACATAATCGAACAATACATTCCTTCATCGTACAGAAAACTATCGAATTTATTTTTCAAGCTACATTATTTAATTTGATATCCTCTCATCTGTTTCGTATTTGTTTATTTATAAGGTTTGCTTTGATGTGACTAGGTCACTAATTAAGGCAGTTTCATTTGTCCTAGTAAGTACCAATTGCAGAAAGAAGCCATCAAAAGGAAGGCATCCAGTGATCTTGAAGATAGACTTACGTTGGTTGATATGCCTGTTTTGTCGGTTGAGATCACTCCTGGCAGCGAAGTTATCTGGTCCGGCTGTGTGTCTGCCATCTGTGACAGTTCAGTTGTGTTGTCTGGTAGGGTAGTCGCCAACCAGGCTTGTGCAGGAGTCATCTTTGACAGTGCCGGTGACACCATGCGACCTTTCGGCATACGTTTGTTTGGAGACCCCTTAATAGGTAGATCAGCGTTCTGTAAAAGATATTTATTTACTAAATTGTTAAACAATGAAAGCTATAATACAGTTAAAACATCGATCGTTCAAAAAACTGTTATAGCATTTGAGCTTTTACATCAGATTTTTTTGCACGATCAGAGATTTTAACTGTATTATGTGTCTCGAAGTCTAGATTACAGACTGATGTACAACTTGAAAGTTGTTTTAATTTGTGATTGAAATATATTTGAACATTTGGATTTAATAAACCTAATAAACTTTACTACATACATCATTTAAAACCTAAAAATCATCATTAAATGAACAAGGCATGGGGTGCTGCCATGATTACAGTAGGTACTATTATAATAACTTTTGATATTGCTGCAGAAATGGCACCTTACTTAGTTAAATCTAAGATAAGGAGCTTAACCCATAACGAATACCTTGTTTTCCATGGAGCTGAGATAAATGAAGACACAAGCTCCTGCTCCCAACAGGGCGACCACTAGAATAACGATGGCGATAAAACGGAGTAGGCTGGGGCGATGACATTTGTAGCTCTTAAGGCGTTCGCAAATGTTTGCAGCACTTGCGGTGCATCCTGTGGGTAGCCAATAACTGATGTTTGTTATCATATCTCTATTTCTTATGGTTACGTCCATTTTTTGTTCTCTTATTCAAAAGAAGGCCACTGATATAAAGCCCAGACCAGGAGGTTGTAGTTGGTTGTAATTATTTAAATTGGCAATTATAATTAATTAAGCAAAATTTGCTTTGATGTAGAACCTGTACATTTTTTACCATTGTATGTTCTTGCCTGTGACACCATTAGAATTTAAACAAGTCCAACATAAGTTACCTTCTTTTTCGTCTGCTTTTCGAAGTGCACCGGGCACATACAGCACGTTTCTACACAAACCTGCCATATTATTAAAGAAAAGCTCACATTATAATAGATTTTCATAATTATAACTTTTCCGTAGTCTTAAGTAGATGTCTATCTCTCACTACTTCATTGCCAGGTTTATGTAAAGCTTAACTTTTAATTCGAGTTCCGGCACATTGAATGGCATTCATACCTTTTTAGAATTAGAATATTCAAAGAGACGAATAATAAAGAAACATGTTCAATACTCAATCTCCACTTCCGAATAGAATCAATTCAATTGTATATGATACACAGCCATGAAAATGTTACCCATAGGTTAAACGAAAAGTTGCACGGTAAAATAATACAAACAGCAGACTGTACCTCCGTCCTCGGTTTGTTGTGGTTGACCAGGGTCGTGTATTGCGTTGTCGAGTGGATCAGCGATGTTGTTACCAGTAGGCACAGGAGGTGTACCGGCACTCGTCTGCTCACCAGTCTGTGGTTCATTCAGGATTTCATCTTGTTCTACAACTTCATAGTTGTGATCGATAGCAGGTTGCTCAACTTCGTTCTCCATATCTGCGGTGCAAATTTCCAACATCAGTTTTTTCATACAGAACACATTTTCTTGACAAGATAAATGTCAAATAATCTGAGAAAACGGGGTTCAAGAAAACAAGAATATTTAGACCAGTACCAGTTAAAATTTTGGTCAAATATGCACTTTGATTTATATGGTTTGATAGACTATTAAGTTAACACAAATACCTATAAAAGCTACAATGACAATGACAATTTAACAATATTAAAGATTATTTTGCTAATACATTACAGATTCCCTCTGGGCTATATACGTAAATGGGAGAATTATACGCTCCAAAACGCAATAATAAAAGGTTATAACCTACGTTTGTTGACATCTTTGTTTAAAGGGGATGACATCTCGTTACGAACTCCACTTTCTTTGCTATGCTCTTCAGTCATCTTCTGAGCAATTTAAGGGGCAAAATAATGGAAATCTTCTAAGTTTAT